GTTGTGGCTGTAAAACAGGAAAAAGTGATAGTTTCAGAGGTATTAAATAATTTTCAATGCCCTGTTTGCTTTATACCTCCACTGATCAACCTTCCCTCTGACTTTAGAGGAATCACATTTCAACAGTTTTATTTTAATCCTAACCACCATTTATGTTTCCGCTTGAATCACAATAAGTTCCTACTATTGTGCCAAACAGAGAACTGTACCTGTGACGCTAAGGTTTGTCCTTAAAGACGTATTTTCCTCTAAAGTTGATAGTTTTAACAAAAACAAACACTTATAATTAGAGAACCCATCAATTTGCAACATACAAAAGGACAGGTTCAAATGATGTCTTACCCAACGCTCCAAAAGGCTTTAAGCTGCATAAACTACACATTATCCAATAAATTATTTCAACTGGACATAAAGTATCAGCAAAAAAAAAAAAAAAAACTGAATGCATGCAGAGAAACTGAATATTGACCATCTTGATTCATGTTTCTATTATATTATTGTTTTTTTTCTTTTTAGATTCAGGAGCTGGGAAAACCTTCATCAATGGAAAAACGAAAGTTTATTGGGAGACATCCTTGGACCTTTTATTTTATTTACTTTTTTCCAAGGAAGACAAACTCTGTCCCAGATTCCTGGCATGTAGTGCAACACAATTGTATCTGTGGAGAAAAGTCTTGGTGTTTGGCAGGACAAGACTCAGCAGAAGTTAATGAAATATGTTGCAATGTGTGCAACTATTTGCATGAGATATGAGTGAGGTTAGCGAAGTGTTTGCGTCCTGCTGGGTATTTGTTGTGTCTTTGAAGATAGAGACGTGGGGTGGAAAATTTGCCTGTAAAATGCATCAAAGGAATAAATGAAATAGCGTGAAAGGCTGTCTGAGGCCGCGGCCCCGTGGACTTGGTTAAACAATTACAAAGTATTTCATGCATCACCCAGTAATTTTTCATAGAAATGTTATTGTTACATTCCAAGTTATACTTGGTTGTGAGTAGAGTACGGCTCTTATAAAGATCAAATATTTGCTTAGTCTATAAAAAACCTTTCTGTCTTTTCTCCATTAAATATTAAATCAGAATAAAGATTTCAGGTTAGTTAATATTTACATTTTTTCATCTACCGGAACAAAAATAAAAAAAATCAAAAGTCAGGTATTTACACTGTCATTAGTAAACAAAGGATTGTCCTTTCAGCCCAGATGATGATGTCATAGCAGTGCAAGCTTATGATAGGTTTATTTACAATATTTCCGTTAAATGGAGGCACACCTGTGCGTGTGGTCAAAGGTCACACTTAGAACCTGCAACCTCATTGGGTGACATCATGAATCAGTCGGTTCAAGCCAGAAGAAGTCCTGTACCAACATGAGGCAAGGAAGAAGCCATTGTTCCAGAAGCAGCCATAAAGTCAGATTACAGTTTACCAAAGCCTTCAAAGCAATGACTGGCATTTCTTTAGACATTTCCTGTAATCTGATGAAGTTGATCCACTTATAATCTTTACCCTAACAGTGGAGGACTGAGGTAGCAGCATCATTAAGTGTTGGTGTTTTGCTGCACTTCACAATGGCATCACGAGGAATGAACATGGAAAAATTGATGCAACATTTCCAACCTTCAGCTAGGAAGCTAGATATTAAATATTGGTACAAGTGGAAAATAACCCCAACATAAACACACAAACCTTCCCTCAGGTCCATGGAAAAATTTTGAACTGAAAACTGTGAAAATGGGCCTAAATTCCCAGAAAATCTTATGCAAAGTTTGTAGAAGAACCAAAACGTGTCATATTGTTTAAAATCAAATTCTGTGAACATTTGAATTTGACGTAAAATCCAGGCATTTAGTGGGTAATTCTCACTGACCTGAAACATAAACTATTCTAATTTAATGTCAGGCAGTGAGGAACCATAAAAGATTCTCATTTTTTCAGTGTGTGTAAATATCTGGTTTTATTCCAACTAATAAAGTGAGTAACACATTCTTGCACAGCTAAAAAAGAAAATAAAAAAGGGAACCCAGATGGATTAGGAAATTGTGGCTTATAAATTCTGAATGGTCAAGATGACCTGATTGAGGCCAGTGTGTCATCCACAATGAAACGAATACCAAAAAACTGACTCAGTTTTCATGAAACAGAGATACTGCAAGGAAACGCCACACCTCAGAGGCTAATCGCTTCCTTGGTTTCACTCACACATGAAGAGCAGAGAACAATGAACCTGGTCAGCAAACAACATTTTCCAGCCTTTAAATACTGGAACACTTCTCTTTTTAACGGTTGGCCATTTGAATCATGCACTGTTTTGTTTTGTTTTTTTCCGAGCTGACAGTTTTTTGAGTGCTTGTGACAAGGCTCTGATAATGACCGATGCAGGGACGTGTGTGATTATTAACTTTCAGAGTGAGGCTAATCAAAACAAGGCTAACTTAAAGAAAATTACTGTTTTTATAAGTGAGTCATTATGGTTTTGAGAGTTATCCTCTACAGACAAAACAAATCCAAAACTTAAAAGTGGCTTCTTGTGTGTTAAATAGAAATCTTTAAGAAATAATTTGCCTTTTCTGACGGAGATTACGCTCAGTATTATATGGTTTAATAGTAACAAAACATATTTGAATGTATTAAATGCCACAGCAATGTATGAAAACATGAAATATATTTGATTAATATTTTCTGGAAGTGCCTTTAAATCTGTATAACTTGTGTCAAACATTTTGGATATTCTTCCATAAGTTTCTCAGTATTTTGCTGGAGTTTTGGCCCATTCCTCCTGACAGAAGTGGTGTGACTGAGGCAGGTTGGTAAGCCATGCTCCTTCACATATTTTCAGTTCTCATGGAATTGTGATGGCCTCTGCAAAATATACTTTGTCTTCCTTATGCCACTTTGCAACTTTTTTTTGTCATCATGCTTAGGGAGGATTGTACATTTGGAAGATTTGACCAAATTTGGCCAAGATTTAACTTCCTGACAGACATACTGAGATTCTGCTTACGTATTTCCAAGTAATATTCATTCCTCCTGGTCCTAACTATTTTCTTAAGTGCACCAATCCCTCTTGCAAAAGCAAACCCTCCTGCAGTCCAAGTGACAGCAAAATAATGCTGTCACTTGTACTTTATAGTTAGAATCTTGTTCTCCGGCTTACAAATATTGCATTTTTTTCTCCCAAATGCAACAGTGGTCTTTATAGTCAAACATTTTCTTCTGGCCATAAACATGAAGATGAAAATTAGGGTTATTTGTGTTTTCATATTGACTTTGGAGTAATGGCTTTTTCCTTGCTGAGAGGCCTTTCAGCCTGTGTCAGTAAAAGATTTGTTCCACTGTGGATAATTTCACCCTTTTAACATCTTCAGTCTATGTTTTTATAACACGTCTTGCTGTAATTCTGGGGTATATTCTCATATTTTTCAACAAAATCATTATTGCCTGAATGTTACAATAACTTGAGACATTCCCATTGGGTGTCTCAATGTTTAACAGGTTAAGGTGGCACCTCCATATCTTTGGATAAAGCAGACTTTTAGAGCTCCTTATACACCGAACAACAGGTTTTCTCATGATATCCCAGAAGTTTCTGTGTATCAGGGTTTAGTTTTGCAAATGGCAAACAAAATGTACGAGTGAATGACACGACACACATCTGACAGAACATAATTTGCTTTTCTGTTTTTATCGACACACAAAAAGCAAAACCTGGTGCGAACATTAACTTCCTCCTTTTGAATCATATACAAACTGCCCAGTTATCACAGAAGCGGTGGCGTTAAACTGCATGTGATGGGTTCCCACGCTCCTCCTATCTGCCTGATCCCCTCAGATTCCTTTTCACTGAATCTTGGACCTTTCCATCACCACATGTAAGCATTTTGAAAGTTTTAGACCTGACTTGTTAGTAGTTCTCTACCATCAAAGTCCTTTGTACTCCATTTCCTGGTTTTAATCAGGGTTGTGGTCGTTTAAGAAGCTTCTGTTTGCCTCATTGCTCAGATACTGATGCACATTTCTAACTGAGCTCTCCAATCCAAAATGATTCCTTTACAAATAAGATATCTGCTACGTATTATCCCCCCAAAAATCCTCAAAAGATAAGTGGGAATAAAAGTTTGTGATGTTTGGAAGGAAACTTTTAAATAACTTCAGTATATTTCAGGCAAGTATGAAACGCTGTTCATTAGTTGCTCTTAGTGGTTACATAACATGGGAACATATATATTACAGAAAGCTGGGTAAGGTTTCTTCTTATAATATCCTGACAGAACTGAGTTATGGGAATGGCTAAATCTATTTAATGGTGCACAGTAACCGTGCTTGTTTTCGTTTGTTTCACATCTAAATGGGTCTGTGCTTTCTTAGACAATAAGGCCAAAAAGACAGCAACATATTTACATTGCATTCCCTTCAATGATTGAATTCCAAGAACTCAAATTAATTTTAAAGCCTAGTTGTCCTTCAGTTACACTTCCCAGTGAAGCTGTACTGGGGCAACTAATAGAAACCAGCTGCAGAGAGACCTAAAACAATGAAAACAGAAAAATCGGGTTGATCCTTCACCTCGAGGAAAAGATGAAGAGATTTAAGAAAGATGCATTTTTGTTTGTGATCCAAACAGCGACATTTTTAGACATTTGAGGTACGCTGTCTGGGATAAAATGGTGAAACAGTGCGCAGTTTTTCAAACTTGCCACCTTATTTTTCAGGAAAAACAAGAGAACAGAAAAAAAAAATCTATTAAAAGCTTCAGGTTTACAACCCTGCCTATTCATTCTGGGGCTGAGTCCCTGTTATCACCCCGTTTCTTTCTATGTAAACACCGAGCTAAAAATAGAGTTTATTATTAAAGCGTCTTCATTTGTCGAGTTGTCAGGTCTGTCCCGTTTCTATGGGCGGAGCCTCACAGCTTCAGCGCAGTAATACGGAGTGACAGGAGAGTCAGCCAATCAGAGGACGCGCTGAAGCTTTTAACAACTCCCCGGTGAGCCACCTGTAGCAGCCCGGAGGAGACGCCGCCTGGGCCGCACCGTTATATTCCCCTCACCGGCACACGGAGCGCCTCAAAGCCGCAGCTTCCTCTCACTAAGCAGCTCCAAACAAACAAACAAACAAACAAACAAACAAAAAAAAAATCCCCTACAGAGCTGCAACATGCCTCCACGCTGCCTGCTCGTCGTTTTTCTCTTCGGGATTGTCTCCAAAGGTGAGTAAAGTTTTTACACGGAATTTAAAAAAAATACGCGTTAGGATCAGACTAATGTTTCAAATGAAGTTAGAGTTGTTTTAGATATTAGTTTTAACATTTTTGGAACCTTTTTAGTTGTTGGAAATAGTTTAAATGTTATATTTATTCTTAAAAACTGGAATCTTTATCCTTTTTTTTCCAGCTACATCTAGAACACATATTATATAAGTCGTTACTTTTCGTATAGGTAGGCTACAAAATACTAATAGATTCAATTTAATCCATTTTGAAATGAAGAAAACATTTTACCTCCCGTCATAAAGCAATTTTTATTGACACTATTTGATAAGCTACTAGCATATGTTATCTATTACAGTCAGGTAAACTTGCAGACTGATTAATAATTATTTAAAAATATATATTTAAAATATATATATTATATATATATATATTATATATATATTTATATATATATAAATATAAATATATATATATATAAATATAAATATATATATTTAAAATATATATTTAAAACGAAGTTTAAATAAAATCTAGATTAAAATTGCCTAACATTTAATACTAACACATTGAAAGTCACAATAAAATGGCATTTATGCGTATTTTTCTTGTATAGAATGTAGTTGTGTGCAAAGGCTTCCTTCTATTTGAGCAATTTTTATTTAGATTTCACATTTGCAAACTTTCAAACAGTCTTGTAACTAGTTTAAATTCAAATAATGACATTTTCATTAAAATCAGGAAATACAAGTTACATGAAACTCAGGAGAATGTGAAATTCTATTCTTCTGAACAATATATGTACGTTTTAATTTGAGCAACAACAAAAAAAAAGTCAGATTTTTCTGTGTGTTTTTGGTGTACTAGTTTCACATTCCTAGGGAGTAATTCCTAAAAATAGTGTCGGACCTGACTCAGTGCTCCTCCAGCGTGACTCAAAGCTCTCCAAGGGTGGACAGATGCCAAAGAGGAGGCATCGGTCAAACAACAGCCGGCTCTCCTGAAGCTCGGCTTCCCTCAGAGTTCACTCCCTGGCCTCTTGACAGCCTGACGGAGCTGCTTGGGGAGGTTTCAAGTCCTCTTCATTGTGCAGCCTGTGACTAAGATACCAAATGTTTTGCTCACGTTATATAGTCTTTTATTCTGAAGCTTGTTTGTGTGCCTCACAGACCTGGTCATATGCTGACAGTCGTCAGGCTCTGTCTCCTTTGGTTGCTTGTGAATAAAGTGTTAAACAGCAGAGGCAGGGGGCAGAAGGAGCAGTAAAGAGGTCCAGATGAGGACACTTCCTGGGGGTTCTCCTCCTCTTCTGAGTCTGGCGCCACACTTTGTGGAGCCCCCCCCCCGACAATAAATATTACGTATAGAGGAGCAGAGACCTTTAAGTGATGCGCTGCATCATGACTCCACATGTGTCATGTTTGGGCCATCACTCATCATGAGCTCATAAGTGGAGCACTGGGAGCTAAAATGCAGCTGCAAGATTTCAAAAAGTCCGGCTTATCCTCTTAATTTAATTGTGAAAATAGGCCATGTTTACTCACATTTGGTTGTTTATTTGGTTATTTATGGGAAAATTGTCAGATACTTCCTTCTTTTTGTTTTTCTGTGCTTCCGATATTAATTCCACTGTCCTATTAAGCTTCCCTGTATCTGTTTATCTTCCTCATTTCACCCCCACCTGCTGGCTCGTGTTGCCTTGCGGCCCACTTTTCACACACACTTGTTGCCGTCTCTGCTCTGGCTTCTTCCCCTCGGTCGCTGCGTGTCTGCAGCATCCTGTTGGATTAGGCCTGATTCGGGGCAGTAAATCTTGTCCTGTAATTGGAAAGCATGTGCTGGCGGAGCTTTAATTGGATATGATATGTGCAGAGGCCCTGTAGGCGAGCTCTTGCTCCAGGGAGCCATCTGTTACCTCTGAGTTGCAGCAAAAGAGCTCTGTTTGCCCACAGGCACAGAAGTCATTGCTTTCCAGCACCTCCAGCTCAGGAAGCTGCTTAAATCAAAGACTGACCAATTGGCAAAGAAAAAAACAAAAATGATACAATCAGCTTTAGCTACTATATCTGTTGCTTCTCCTCTAAACATCTGTCTACTTCATACCGAGCTTCATGTGTGTGTCAGACATCAAGCCGACTTTTACGCAGCAGGAAACGAAGCAGTCCAAGTCAGGAAGAAGTTTATGACAGAGTCCAGATGAGCAGTGAAGAGCTGCTTTATTTTATCTCAACCACCATTAGTACTTGTTGTTCATAGTAGCAAAGCAAAGCAAAGTTTTGATGGTCTACCCAGATGTGATGTCACATCCCGTCTGAAAGAGTTGTTGAGGAAAATAAAAATTATGAAGTATTGTTTATATATTTTTTATGATAATTACAATTAATGATAAAACCCCAAAGCTTCAGGGTTGTTAGTTTTAATATTTTTTCCACTGTCTGTTCACTGAGAGTATACATATCAATACATGATTAAATGCTGTGTGCAGTTTGGTGAGACAAATCACACCTTCATGTGACTGGTGTCCTAAAGAAATGTCTCCATTTCTATAGCTACGATTTCTGTGTCATGCAGTCACAGCCATACAAGCAGTAATAATAGTTCTTATGGTCACTTTTATCATTATCACATTAGTACCGCAAAACATTGTGAGAAAAATGTAAGTCCATGTCACCCACCCCTATTTTGCACTTCATATTTTTATCAAGCCTCGATTTGAGAACTAGTGCTCTATGACTGCCAGTAGTTCATTTTTGTCCTCTGTAGAGGACATTTCTAAACTTGAATATCTCCCACTCCCTGCATTCTACTGAATTAATTTCTTTTGGTATCTGGAGAGGACATTTAGGGCTTTTCAATGATACCACATGTGAAGGGGTGGGACTTTTGTACCTTCCTTTTTCTAATTCATAGAAATGGCATTTATCTGTAATAACACATTTTATGGGAAGAGACAAAGTAAGTGCATAAAACCTTTTATTACCTTACAAAGACTGTGGGATTTAAAAAAAATGGTGATTGGACAATATTTTTTTTCCTGGTAGTCAGGAGGCTATTGGTTGCAACTCCCTCCTTTTATTGAGAGATATTCAAATTAATTATGTGAAATTGAAGTTTAAAAGAATTAAATAGAACCGCGGTCTTCTGCTCAGCCTTCCTGTTCCAGTAAATGTTTTGCTCTCTCTTGCAGCGTGAATAGACAGCAGACATGTTGAAGCCTCTTTTTTTTAAAGTTTACTTTTGAGTACCATCACTTCTGTTCTCCCAGTTTAATTTTAAAACCCTTCAGACATACTGAAAAAATTAAAGTCTGATCTTCTCCCTACTAACAGCCTGGACACTGAGAAGTATTATTAGTTGTTTGTTTTCACTGAGTTGCTCATCTATCTGGTCAAATGCAGCTTTCATGGTTTATTACTTTAAACAATCAGATTTGTTTTTGATTATCAAGAAACTATAAGTTGTGATCAGCCAATAGATAATACTTAAGATTTAAAGAGACAGACATCTTGTGTTTATTGGTCTCATATCTCTTTAAGACATAAGAGAAAACTATAAACAGAGACAATGATCAACATAAACTACTGAACACTTTTGCAGGCACAGAAAATGCAATCTTGAAATTTGAAGTTTCTTCCCAACTACTTTGTTTTTCTTTGCAAAGAGGAAAAATGACAACATGACCGTAATTAAAACTCTTTAGCTCAGTTTCTTAAGCTCTTGTTTCTTAACTGGAAGATTAGTGGTTTAATCCACGCTGTCAGATTCTCTAATAATCTTATTTTTGGAATAATAGTCTTATGTTTAAATATGCATCCGAATGGAGTTGTGAATGAGATTAGGGTTTTTTTTGGTCTTCTTCGTACATGCCAAGGGAGAAAGGATTTCTTAATTTCCCATATTGTTTATCTTTAAGCACAGTGAAATAAAAAAGGTTATGACTTAATTGCCCATAAAACTGATTATCAATTTGATTATTTTATGTTGTGCCAAAGTATAATGAGTGTAATTCCTGGTTAAATTCCTGTGGACTTAGATTGATTTCAAATCGCTCTAAATTCAGTGCTAAATAACCTCAAGACAGTTGAAAAATGAGTTTGTGTGTTTGAGATTTCGCTTTCCAGCAGTGATCATGTGTTCATTACACCTGAACTCCCAGAAAAGCGTGTTGGCTATATTTCAGCTCCTCCGTCGGAGGCATCCTGTTTGTCCTCTGATCAGGACACTCAGCAGGATGGGAGGAAGAAGAGCTCCCTTTCTGTCCTCCTGCTGAACCCACATCCACTGAGTCTCTTTGATGTGGAAACCCCTTTGGCAGATTCCACTTTTAAATACCAGGAGATCATAAGTCAGTTTGTAAGAATTGACGACATGTATATGCAGTAATTAGGTCTTAAACAAAACAGTCTTTATTGGAATCCTGCCTCTGGAGCTCAGATTTCCCCTGATTATTGAGTTGCAAACATGTCATTTCATCTCCTGCTCAGTGTGCAGAGTTTAATCTGTTGCTTCCTTCATGCAGCGCAGCTGAATGAGCTGGCAAACTGTGTCAGAACCATACTTTTCCTCCTTCCTGAACAATGTGCTGGAAATATTGGATGGCAGCACCGAGAAAGGGTGTCTCCTGGCTTTTCTTTCTGCGTATCATAAAACTTTGGCTTCTGTTATCAATCAGGATTTATTTTATGGGAGTGGCAGTTCTGATGGGAAGTTCAGGGTGTGTGTATAAGGAACTGGATCTGATGGTCAGGTCATGAGCAGGTACTTCACAGGAGTGCCATTGTGCCACAGGGATAAAAATCCCCTGACCTGCAGTCCAGAGCTGGAACATGAGCAGCGCAGCCAAAGCTGGAACGTGTCTCCATTTCTGTTACCGTAACAAATCCGAAAGGAGAGAAAACTGAAATCTTCTCTGTGACATTCCTATCCCACTCCTTATTCTGCTAGACCTAGAAAAGGAGAATAGAGGCTGGTTTTAATGACAGTTTTTGAGACATTGTGAATAGAAATGGAGCAAAGCCAGACTTTCAGAGGGACCACGTCCTCCTTAGTGGGGTTTTTGCAGGACGACCTTAGACCCACTTGTCACCCAGCCTGACCCAGTCATTTCTTTTGTGTCTGCAAGAGATTATCCGCCTGTAGCTTAAATCCTTAAAGCCAGGACTCACAGTTAGACATGCAGCGCAGAGTGTGCTTTTAATTACGCCGCTGTTTCAGCATTATCACATCGGCTTCATCTTTCAGGTTTCAGATGCTTAACTTCATATCATTACATGCAGTTAAATCACAAATTATTCACACCCCTGGCAGATTTAGATTGATGTATTGGCAGAAATGTATGCCCTGCTCAATAATCCATGGAAAAATACTTATTGGTATTGCAGTATTGAAACTTTTCTTGTAATTGCTGAGCAGCTTTTTGTATGTTTCCTCTGATATTTTGATGATTTATCTTTGGTGATGAGGTTTGAAGGCCTCCTTTCCACCATTCTAATTTTTAATTCCCTTCATTGATTCTCGATAAGATTCAGGTCTTAACAACTGGACCGCTCCAAAATGTTATTTATTATCCATTAAACATGGATAAACATGGTGCAAAATTAAATATGAAAATTAAACCTAAATCTTTCAGATTTATGAATAATTTGGGGTTTAACTGTACATTTAAACACTGATGCACCTGGAGTTAGTAGAATGAGCTGCGGAAAATTATTTGACCTGCATTGAGGAAGTAAAAGAGAAACACTGGTGACACAGTTAGTATGTTTCATCTTAATGTGGAAGCTTGTTTATGCTGTACTCTGAGCTCCTGATTTATGGCTGACATTTTCCTGTCTGTGGAAATAAGGAAGCAGATTGAAAATGACAGTGAGAAGAGAACCGCATTGTTGTTGATTTTTGTGGTTCACCATTGCACATAAACTCTTATCTCTCTGCTCTGTTTTTGTCTGTCACTTCCCCTTGCTTCCATACAGTCATTGTAGTTTTTTTTTTTTATGATGTTTGTTGTAGCTTTCCGCCACGGTCACCTGAGTCATTTATGATCTGCACTGTTGGTTTGCATAATTTCATATTTCAGTTCTCAAAAGCTAATTTTAATAACAGTGAATACCTTGCAGAGACATGTTTTTTATGCTTATTTGTTCTGAAAAGGAAACTTTCTTTACAGTATAATACAGACGTAAAAGATTTTTATGAAAAATTAGCTTTTTTTGTTGTCATTTATTAGTAATTTGTTGGTTTTTAAATGGTCAAAGTTATGAAAGTACAGGAGTTTTAGTATCCAAGAAATAATCTTTGCCTTAAGCTCTCTTCAAATTGTTGCTTCAGCTAAGGGATATAAAAGTGCAAATATTAGCAAAACCCTCAAAGGACATCTGTGTTTTATTTTAGAGTAATTCTATTCATTATAATTGATGGCAGGTGAGAATTCCCAAAGACAAAATGCTGAAATTAATCAAAAAGTTATTAGATTCAGGGGTGTGCACACTTAGGGAACTGCTTGTTTTTTTTTTTTCATTTTCACCATTGAACAGAATTATTTGTCTTTTACTTGAATAGTACAGGATATGTGTTAAAAATGTGGATACAGCTTTTAAATGAATGATCATGGCTTTTTTTTTTTAATCACAGAACCTGACATTTTGACAAAAATGTTTACACTTTGAGGTGATTGTATGCCTCCTAATAAAGAGAACCATGTGGGATAAAAATGAAGTACTGCAGTAAAGTGTGAATAAAACTGTGAATTAAGATTTAGGAATTTAGAAAATTGCTAAAATGTGATTATCTTAGCCATTTATCAGAAAAAAAACCTTCCAGTCAAATATAACATAATCTAAGGTATGCTTGCAGTAAAGCACACAATGACATTCTTAACAGCTCCTTGGGAATTTAAGAAAGACTACAATGGTCTAATCAAAGCACCGTCAGCTAGATCTGATCTAAGAGGTTTTCCATTAATCTCTATCTCTTGTTATCCACCATCACTACTCCCACGTATTTACCTCCTAATCCCAAATAGTCTCAGATTGATATCAAGCCCAAACTATACTATTCCTTTTGCTTTATGTTCATCATAAACTTCCTTTCGTATAATTAATTTTCCACCCATTTGTACTTCCTCATCTTTTATCTTGCTTGCTGAATGAATTCTCAGAATACATTTACATTTATTTCCAGTGATGCAGTTGCGTGTCATGCCCATATTCATGTGCTGTCACTGGGTGTGGTTTTTCATCTGTAAATAAGTAATGGTTACGTCATGATACTCAAACAAATCCTTGGAATTGTTTAATAAAATTAGATGAAGCTCTGGATTAGTCTTGATATTTTCACGGCTTCCTAGGAGAAAATGAAGCTGTCCACCTGGCTGTCCGTTCTTCTCACTGGTTTCTGAAATGCTATCATTCAGTGCATGCAGATGAGGACAGGATATAAGCAAGCAACGCTATTGGCAAAGACCCCCTGCTGCTGGAGAGCAGCTCATACAGCCCTGGTACTGATTCTGTTCCACCATAAATACAAAACAAAGAGAAAGAGCAGGTCAAATGGGAGCAGGGGTCAGAAGAAAGTTGAGCTGATATCTATAGATGTTAGCATTTTCTTTTTATTTATTTATTAATACTATTTATGTTTTTTGGACAACTTGTGTCATTCTCTAACTGTGTCTCATGTCCCCAGAGCAGAGAAGGTATAATAATAATGCTTCTTTTTATGCTTCTGTTTTTATTGCAGTGCAAATGACAACGGAGCCTCCTACTGCTGCTGATAGTTACAACACAACCACAAGTTCCCTTGCAACTACTGAACACAACACAAGAGAAACAACTGGAACTTCATCGGTTTTTCAGGCGATAACCGTGGCAGATACAGTCACAGGGAACAGTACTGAGATGATCACCACAGGAAACCTGCCAGGACCCTCAACGGCTCCAATCACTGGTGGAACCACACCAACAACAGGAGCAGAGACAAATAGTTCACCTTCTAGTCAGACTACAAATGGAACTGCTTCATCTCCACCAACCTACATGACAACCACTGGCACATCGACGGCACCCACAACAATCAGCAACATGACTGCACAACCTGACACTACAGTAGCTCAGACTACAGCAATGGTCAACAACATGACTACAGCAACTCAGACTACAGCAATGGCCAACAACATGACTACACTAGCTCAAATTACAGTGTCAAACAACGGCACAACTACAGATGATCTGACCACAGTGACAAACGACAATGTAACTACAATGGTTGCAATTACACCGACAAGCACTGACATGACTACAAATGTGTCAATTGCCCCAACAGTCAACTACACAACTGCAAGTATGACAAATACACCACTTGACAATGATACAGCAATGACAACTACAAACAACCACACCACCGAAAATGTGCCAACTACAACTAATGAAGACACTACAAGCACATTTGTCACAGTCACAAACAATGCCACAGCCACTACAAGTGACAATGCGACTGTAAGTCCACAAATCACATCTACCACTCAGAGCCCAACTATGGCTACCTCAGGCAATCACACAGCCACTACATCAGTTACAGTGATGGGAAACACCACAGCTTTAATCACCAGCTCCCCACATTCCAGCAACATGACAACAACTATAAACTCAGCTACCTCAGAGCAAGCTAGTACAACACTGGCCAGCTCTGCTGAAACTTCTGGGACTCCTGCATCAACCGTCATACCCTTTACTTCGACTGACACCAAAAACACAACAGACTCTTCACCTCCTACCAGCACCTTCCCAGGCAGTAGCAACACTCCTTCAACCTTCAACCCTTCACCAGCAACCTCAATAGGTAATACTAACCTCTTGATAAGCAGCAGTGTTTACTGGAATTTTGTACTGCATTTCATGGCATTTCTTCAATAGTAACCATTCATACAGGTTACCCAATCGGTGTAGTTATTAGCTGTGCCACCTGTTGAAATGTTGGACTGACTGGGTTTAATTTTTGACGATTCAGAGTCCAATGTTACGATGGGAGAAACTACTACTACCACTCCTTTACCGACAAATTCACCCAGCATCACCACTGAGACCCTGAACACCGACATCCCTACCTCCACCGGTGGAACCACTGAGATTTTCACCACTTTTCGGACAACAGAGGGTCCAACCACTCCCACTCCTGTAATCGGTTTGTGCTATTTCCTTTAATGTCTGTCTATAGAAATGCCAAAGTTTCAGCACAAAAATCCAGCTCCAGCTAAGAGACTTAGTTCTATTAGTAGTCCTATTTGGAGTTAGAGCTTTTTGTTATGTAGTTGATTGCCATTTTTGAGAGTAATTGCCAAACACATGCTGTATTTGATCTTGAATTGAAATCAGTTCTGACTTAAACAGGATCGGTCAAATGTCTGAAAACCAGTGGAATATGACAACTGTTGTGGTTATATCTGTTATCAGCAATTCAAACTAAAACATTTTTTCTTTGCATTTACACATTCAAACATTCCAGGAAAGTTCACAGTAATATATTTACTACTGGTTTCCAGGAATTCAGGTGTAACCGGGTTCTGCTTCACTCTACTGTACCAGGCCGGCCCAAATAACCCCTTTACTCTGCTTTGTGTAGTTTTTTTTTATTTTTTTATTTTTTATGAAGACCGGGAGTTTCTGGGTGATCTGCAGTTTATTTCCTGAATGAGAACATATCGGGTTTGAATCAGTGCAACGGCTCAGCTTCAATCAGTACACTACAACAGAGCGAGCGTTATGTTAGCTTTTAAACTTAGGGCATGAAGTGTTTTATGATAAAATTAAAAGTACAAAAATTGGTGCCAGGCACATATCTAGTAAATATTAATTACACTCTATTTATCCAAGTTAATAAAATTATGTTTTATCTGTTGCTAACATTTTTCTATTCTTTGTGCTGAAGAATGCAACTCACCTCTCGTGCAGCTTTCACAGACTGGCACAGAGTACAGGAGCCAGCA